ATAAATCTGTAACTTAAAATTATGAATATGTGACCATTAATCACAAAATGTGACTTTTTTATCTTTATTTAATAAATATTTTTAATTAATTAAATAAATACCTGATTTTTGAATTTTTAAACTATTTACCTTATTTTTGAATTGAGGTAAAGAAAACACCTTAAATATGATTTTTTCCCGTGTAAATTTGTACAAAGTCCAAGTTCAAGATAGCCACATATGACTTGACGTGGTACGAAAAGGCTTTATTTAAACAAAAAAAAATGAAAATCTTGTAGATAGCCACATATGTATAATTAATCGAGTTAAAAGTTAGTGTATGAGCTCCAACTATGAATAAGTGTGCTAGGATAAGATGAGAGCTTCCAAACTCGTATCTTGATAGTGTTAGCCGCCAAGTGTTGCCGAACTAAAAGGCCCAACTTGAGACAAGAAAAAGGTAGCATTATGAGAGGCGAAAAGTCAAACTAAGTGTTTGTCTGAGATGTTATTTGAAGTGAAAAAAAAAAATTTCTTTTGGGAGAAATATGATTATGAAGTAGGGAAAAATTGTGAGTCGATGTGTAAAATTATTGTATTAGAAGATTGAATAATCGAAAATGAATTTGAGAAAAAAATAATTTTTAATTTAATTTTTTTGCCAAACAAATGCTAAATCAACACAAAACAATACAGTGCACGATGTTAGATAGAAAAAAAAAAAAAGTTCATGTTGTGTAGTACTTCGACTTGTTACTCGTCAATTAGCAGCAACTGATCATTCACAAGTACACTTGACATGATTAATCATTTGAGAAATAAAGACATTCAAGTTATTAAGGGCATGCATGAGAATTTCAGGGTACCAGTTATGAACGTTTTTTAAATTATCGATTTTGAGCGTTTACGAAGGAATCGATTTTGGGTTGTTTTTAAACCATTCAAAATCGGTGTCCAAAAAAATTAACAAGCACCGATTTTTCCGAACCTTCATAAATGGTGCCATTCAAAACCAGTCAAAATCGATGAAAAAAAACTCCCAAGCAAGCTCTAACGTTTAGAGGCATCTTGCACAAAAGAACTAAATGATGCATAATGAACTTGAACAGATATACATAAACAGGAAAATGTAGAAATTCACGTTCAAAAGAGTCAAGGATTTCTCTTACAAACATACTACAGGTTTTTCACTTCATATCTAGCAACACTATCTGCAATTTTTACCCATGACATCAACTTCGTTCTTGCAGCTATCACTGGCATCTACATTACAAATTTTCGCTATCTGAGCATATTCCTCTTTTGCAATTTTGCTTTCATCTCCTGGTTCTATAACTACAGGGAATTTCAGAGGCTTCTCTGGCCATTCTTCGAAGAACGAATTCATACCACAAGCTTAAAAACCTACAACATATATCTCTTACCTCTTCTAATATCAGAACTCAACCCCCTTTTGTTAGTAGTACATTGGTTAATGGAGCCGTTATTTGCCACTCTCTGCCTCTTAGTAAAGTGATTGTTTTGACCATGCAAGTTTTTGAATAATGGTTTACGGCCTTTGCCTCTCAGAAGTTTTGAAGGAATCTTCCCCGTTCATTAAAACAGGGCTGAAGCCTTTTCCTCTTATTGAATACTCTTGTATTTTCTCCTCTTCCATCTGCTTGTTGCTCAGAATCTGATAAATAGCAAGATGGTATTTTTGCAACTTCACAACCCAATTCAGCTTGCTTTGCCAAGATCTCCTTGAGTAGCTGCAAGAAAGTTGGCATAGGTAGTCAAGTTCTACATTGGAAAACAAGAATATCTCTGAAGCTGTTCTCTTTATGTTGAGTTTTGAATTCATTTTGTTGAAAATGTGTTCTTTTTGGCATTGTGAAAAATTGTTTTGAAAACACTAAAAACGCATTTTAAAAATTTTGGTTTGGTTATATGAAAGTCGTTTTGTGTTTTCTTTGTAAATTTTTAACTTGTTTTCAAAAATGCGTTTTCGAAAATAAGAAAGAAAATGCGTTTTCACTGTTTTGGAAAATCGAAAATAGAAAACAGCTTAAAAATGATAAAGAAAACAGATCTTTAGATATCTAGTTGAACATATTGAGAGATTGGTGTTTCGCAGACATATCAATATAGGACATATGAAGTGAAAATGGACAGCAGTATATTAACGTGTATGCACCATATACAATGCCGGGTTCATGTCAACTAAGTGGTGAATATCCATGAGACCAGTAGGAGACATTTGTGCAGTAATAGAATCCACATTTTAGTTGCACGGAAACCAGTCCTCATCAAATCATTTCATTAACAATGCAACCGTCGTGAAACAGCGTAGTTCATGTATGATTTCACTTCTACATTAACAGTTTACTCGGTCAGCCCTATAGGATATGCCCAAAATGTCGGAACACATTTAGAAAATATTTTCTCAAATAATTCACAGTATTGATACTTCAGTTACTGTAATGCAAGATGACCATAGTATCACAATAGCATTTTATAAACTCTTACTGTTAGGTTTTTATATCCTCAATGTTTTCTGAAACACATTTATTAAAAGGAATTTCGTAATTTCTGTTGGCTAAGAGTAAACTATCTTCGATATCCATATCTAGTCTTTTGAGCTTATTTGCCCTCTAGTGCGCATCTTTGCTTCAAGCCTGGAAAATATGACAAATTTTAAAACTCCTACTGTTCCAACTACAGATTAATTATGTAAGGAGTTAATGTAGCAGCCATAGAAATACTTGGAACCAGGCACAGGTTCTATGTTGGGAATTTCCACTTTAACAACCCCATGACCTTCCATGTTATTTTGAAACCATTCTCCTCCATACCTACAAGCCACAACAAATTCTTAAGAACATCTTATGAGGCATCTGTCAACATTTGATATGAAGTTATAAGAGTCTTCGTGAGCAGACAACAAAGACCCTACATTCTTGGACATTTGAAGTTGTAATCGCATAAAAAATGTATTGTAGGAACTACGTAAACAAACCTGACCGGCCCTCGCTCAGCGACATAAACACCTTAACCATGAGCCAAGTCATCCCAAACAGTGCCTTCATGCCTATGAAAAAATAGAAATCCATCAGTGCCTTCATAGCATTTTGAGGAAACTGCAACAAATAGGATTAAAAAAACAGCCATTTTAAATAAAATGAAACACCAAGTAAGATGGGCTTGGAACTTAATAATATAACCTCTGAAAACGATTAAATCGAACTATAAAAGAAGAACCAAATCTACCAATCTACCACATAAAAAGTAAAAGATTGCAATTTCCAATACATATAGAATAAAAGAAACAAGATTTCAATCTTTCACAAGGATAATGGTACAATCTTTGAATTATGATGCAGTAGAAACATTGCATGAATGCTTTAGTCGTTAGACCTTGATTTCTCGATCTTCCATACAAAAGTTATAATATCATTATCATACACATAAAAATACATTTTAAACTTTACAAAACTTACAATAGAATGCAGTACCCTCCATTTGTTGTATGTTACATACAAGTTGCATAAACACATAGCTAATTCCAACAACTTCCAAACTAAGAACGGAGGGAGGGACATAATATCTTGGTGCCATAAATAGAGAAATTGCAAACATTGAACAAATTGGAGTCATGAACAACATTTGTTGCACTTCAATATATTACTCAGAAGCATGAACAACTAAATCGGAACTAGGGTAGGACATGGTCAGGTTTGGTTCTGAAGAGAACCATACCGAACCAAACCAAAATTTTTGGGTATTTAATAAATGGAACCGTCGGTTCCAAATATAATTTTGGAACCGTTCGGGTTCGGTTCCGTTCGATTCAGTTCCGTTGGTTCCGTTCGGTTCCGTACTATAATTACATTTTTTAACATTTAAAATAATACTACATAAATACACCTGAAAGTAGATACTAATATTAAT